TGATAAGAGTCTATAGCCATTCAGTCTTATGGCGTGCGCTGCCTGTAGCGTAAGGCTCGCTCTCGCCCGACCGTTTCAGATATTGTCCGTTCAAATCATTGTTCGGATCCCGTGGATCTATCTGATCTGTCTGCACTCAATCTCCACTAACTATTGAATCCTTATGTCCGGTTCTGCATCGAGTTCTAGTCCTCCGGAAGCCTTCGACCAGCACTTCCTTAACAACATGGGGGCTGCATGCCGAGAATCCATATCCAAGAACGAGAGACTGCTGTCCAAGTGCTTCCAGGACATTGAAGCTGGTTCTACCGTCGACGTTCAGATCATTCTGAGAAACACCTCTGATGCCCTTACACCTGTGAAAGCAATGTCCGTACCCGGCCCTGCAACGGCCCCGGCGTCGGAATCGGCTACAGGCTCGGGGTCCTCAAGCTTGCCCGCTGGAAGCGAACACGCGAGCTCTGATCAATCAGATGGCGTCTCAGTATCCCCGGTGGTTGTTGTAACGACTTCATTGACTTCGGTCTTCGAAGCAGTATCAGCCGATCTCTGCCGCCTTGCTGATGACCATCTACTCAGCTGTGACCTTCCCTCATGGGTGACTCCGGTCTCACGACAACTTGCGAGAGTTATCATTAACCTCTCCTCATCGGATCACTATCAAATTCGATGGACAGTTGCCATTCCGACCCAAGCACAGCTAAAACGTGAATCGGTCGCTGCTATCAGTGAGCATCGCTCTCACTGCATAGCACAATCATCTCAAGCCAACACGAATGCCATACCTGGTGTTCTCACGGCAGGTGAACAAGCTGACACCTATCACTCCACCGGTGCTGTTGTTACCACTTCACAACCGCAATCGGTCTCCCAAGTGAGCTCGTCTATCGGTGGCCCTTCCAACTACGACATCCAGCACAATCCCACGGCCGTATGCTCAACCTTCAGGGGGTATCAAAATTATACATGCCCTCCCCGTATTCGTCCGTTGCAGATTAAGACTGATGTCACGAAGCGCCCTATCGATCAGGCTATCAAGCAGGTTCGCGTATTTATCGGTCATCCTGTACATGACCGCCTCAAGTTCGACCCTAACCACAGTGGTGCCTATGCTAGATGGCGTGTTGCCTTTGCTGATGCAATCGAACGCGTGCCATGCTCTCGACAAGTTGCTACGGAGGCAGTTCTGGCATGTCTACCAGAGCCTGTCAAAGGCACTGTCGAACGAAGTGTTCACCCTAGTGACATCGAGAAGTTTGGTCACGTCATCATCATCTATGCCCTGGACCATACCTATCTGACGAAGCTCGAGTTGCGTAGTGTCTCCGCTGCATGGGAGAGAATCTGCCAACAATCCAATGAGTCTGTCCGTCAATATGCTACGAGGTTTGAGCACTGTGCACATGTATACACGGCTCTCTACTCTACTCATGGTCTTTCTGCCCGTGACATCACCACCAAATTCTCTGACGGTCTCCGTGGTGCCCGTGAAGTTCTGGGAAGGTGTCTCATCGATCCCCAATGCGAGCTTGGCTATGAAGCTTACAAACTCGCACTCTTCGCCTTTCTCGACAACGGCACGCCCCTGTCCGATGATCTAACGGCAATAGTGCCTGGTCAGTCACGGTCTCAAGGTTCGGGTAAAGGTGGCCTCAAGAAGGTCGATCATTCTCAGATCATCTCCATCTGTGCACTAGCTACCAAAGAGCTTGGTATACCGCCTGATAACTGCCTACGCTGCGGGTTGCCTTCACACCAGGCCAACTCATGTCGTCATACTCAAATCTTCAAGCAGAAGGAGCGTTGTGACAGGTGTGGCCGACTCCGTACTGGTGGCGAGCACAAGTGCCAATCCAAGAATTTCAAGTGCGGTAGATGCAAGCGCAATGGTCATTCGAGTGGTGTCTGCCGAAAGGTTATCAACAATGACAGTATGACATCCACTACTCAATCCAATATGTCCGCTGTTGCAACGGAGATCTCTGATGGCTCTGAGCTGAAGATCATCCACAGTAGTGTCGCCTGTGCTTCATCTCGTACAGCACTTCATGATATCGTCGGCTCACTCCCTGCTGATCCGGTGGTGAACCTTGTCGCTGGTCATGATGCTCCGAAGACTTATTGTCCTATCCAGGGACTCGTGGATAGTGGTGCGAACGCCTCCATTCTGAACAGCTCTACCGTTCACTTTCTTCTTGCTAATGACATCATAAGGCCTGCTGATGTCAAGGCTCTATCACCGCCTGTGTCCGTTACCTTCGGTAATAATCAGGCTCTCTCGGCTGACTCTGTCGCCAAGGTCCCTTGCTTCCTTGGATCCGCTGGCACTGTCACCATCTTATTTCTGGTCGTTGATGGGTGTCGTCCACATTGTCTTATAGGCCGTAACATGTTCTCACTCTTGGGCATTCGGCTGGTCTCTGACAAAGGCGTGGACATCGTTTGCAACATGGCCGCCGCCAACAATAGCCCGGCGCCCGCCACATCAACCCCACTCTGTGCCCGCTCTGAAGCCGCTCTAACCCCATTGGTCGAAGTCATTCCTGATGACACTGATCCCAAACGGAAGAGGCTGAGAGCTAGGCTCCCTGCTGTCGAGGATGCACTGATCTATCCATATAGAGCACCATCACGTAAGAGGAGTGTGGTCGATCAGTCCATCATCCATTCGCGCCTGATGAGTATGGCCGAAGCTGGCAAGGTCAAGCCATCTTGTCCGGAAGCATGCACTTGCATCTTCCAACCTGTACTCGTCGACAAGCTCGATCACGGTGATGATACCGCTCCTGCCCGTGTCTATCTATCTGATGATCTTCATCAACGATATCGGATCACTACTGATATCAAGCCCCTGAACCACCTCTCACTGCGGACAGACAGCAATGGTCGCTTCGTCTATTATCCGCAATCTGTGGTACGAGACCTTCCCCCCACTTCTGATGTTACCTCTAAACAATATCAGTCGTCGGCCATCGATCAACTCCGTCGCACGGATATTCACCACTGCAACTTCTGGTGTCGGTTGGATCTGGTGGATGCTTTCGGCTGTGCTCGAATTCATCCCACCCTGATGACAAAGATAGCGACCACTAGCGTCGACCCTATCACTGGCAAGGAGCACGTCTGGCAAATCTGCACCATACCCCAGGGATGGTGCTGGTCAAGTATTCTCTTCCATACCTGTGTACATTGGCTTGTACACAACCCCATCAAAGAAGCTCTCGCAAAAGCTAACTGCCCGTGCTCTGTCCTATTCGTGCAAGATGACATCCTGCTAGGTTGTCCTACCAAAGCTGATTCTATGAAGGCTCTTTCTATCGTCACCAGTGTCCTACAAGACTATTGCTTTGCTGTTAACCCCCTGAAGACTGTCGGCCCGGCATCGGTGACTCCGTTTTGCGGTCTGATCATCGAGTCAGGTGGACGCTACCGTCCGCATCCATCGCGGAGGGTACTCACTGAGGCATCCTTCGATCTCGCATGGGACGAGTTTATCAACGGAACCTTCAAGGTCAAGCGTAAGCGCGGAGCTCCTAAAGTTGCCGCAGCTGCCTCGAACCTCAAGATCTCGTCTCGGGTGTCATGGCTCAAATCATGGTGTGGTACATTCAACTACTTCCTTGGTCACCTTGGGAAGCAGCAGCTTGATGCTCTGCATGCTCTCACTGACGTGTCCAAGCGACTCCAAGATCCTGCTATCACCGATGAGGAGGTGGAAGCTCAGAGTACCCTTGTGCACGCGGCTTTCAAGTCACTGTTCGAGTACTATCTCAGTGGTATACCGGCTCTATATGCCGCTCGAGACGACCAAGCCATCGGCACCATTGTCCTTAGTGATGCCAACTGCCATGGGTGGTCTGCTATCATCTTAAGGGTTACAACCTACTGCCCGTTCAACAACGATAACTGTGAGGCCACTCAGTCGTCGCTACGTTGCCGGATCCCAAACCTTCAAGAGTTCTTCCCTGGTGTCAACCTGGCACTGCATGCTTTACCTCTCCGACTCGTTGGTGGAAAATGGTCACCTCGTACGGCTACAGCTCGCAGCTCTACTTGGAAGGAGCGAGCCGCCATCCTCCTGGCCATCGATGAATGTATCGGTCTGCTCGAGGGACGAGTCGTGGTCATTGTCGACAACCAGAATGTCCAGAAGGAGTGGCGCAGTTTCGCCAACGACTTCACGGGTCCCTTCCTACACCGTTGGGAACAATTCCTTCGAGTTGTACATGATGTCCGCTGGTCCCCACGAGATACCTCTCCGGTATGGCCCGATGCCCTTGCACGAGCCATCTCCGATTATGGGGAGGAGAGAGAGGTCTACGATGAACTCATCGACTCTGCTGATAATGCTAACTGCCACGTCGTCGACGCCACGGAAGACACGGCTCTGAACGATGATGAGCAACCCTCTTTCGTCCCAGAACAGGCGCTCAGGCACATCGTCCCGGTTCAATTACTTAGGCGTTCTTTCGATGCTTGGCGTGGTCGCACGACCTTTCAAGAAGTGGCAACCATCCCAATCGACCCCGCCGCTGCACGGACTTGGCTCCGAGACGTCCAGACCAATGACCCTACTTGTCAGAGACTCACCAGTCTCCCCCGCTCGCAGTTCACCACTGACAACGACGGATTGTTGCGATATGGTCATCGTTACTTTCTACCTCAACGGTTTGCCCATTCGGTTATTGAAGATATCCACATCTTCCTCGGTCATTGTCCGCTCAAGCAAACCCATGACAGTGTAGTAAAGGCTTTCTACATTCCTGGTATCTCTCGGCTTGTTCAACACGTGGTGTCAAGATGCGCATGCCAGTTCTCAGCCGGCCGTCGGGGCAACGTTAACCCCATCGGTCCCCCATTGAGAAGTACTTCAAGGCCTATGAAGATCCTCGACTGTTGCTTCCTTGATATTGTCGGTCCTCTGCCTGTGTCGGAATCCTTCTCCCACCCCTTCAAGTTCATCATATCATGCATGGACTGTTGCAGCGGTTATTGTTGGTTCTTTCCAACTCCCGACATCACCAGCAAGACCATCACTGGTATCCTCGAAGCAAGGCTGATCGATCAGGTCGGAGTCCCACGAGTCTTCACAGTCGACAACGCCCGCTATTTCACTGGTGTTTACTTCCGCGCCTGGGTTGCCAGCATAGGTGCTACCTTGAGATGTATCCCTGTCGCTAGCCCCCATCGCAATGCCCTATTAGAACGTCAACACTCTGGTCTCAAGAAGTCATTGAAGGCCCTCTGTGCTGAACATCCTGAATCGTGGCCGGCCTATGTCACGAAAGTTCAGCGGAGGATCAACGCCCGATCTACATATGGCTACAGTCCTCAAGAGCTATTCTACGGTTTCGACGCTCTAACGCCCTTTTCAAGACGGTTTGAAGACGTCAGCAACACTATCGACGAGGATTCTGTCCGTTTCGAGGCTCGACGTCGTGATCGAGAACGACAGAGAATG